TAAATTAAATAACTAAATAAATAAAAAGAGTATGACTTATTTATAATAGAGATCTTCTACTCTCAAAAATAATAAAATAAAAAGTATAGCTTATTTATAGTAGAGATCTTCTACTTTCAAAACAATATCAAAAATCAAAAATCAATATAATGTTATAATCCAAAAATCTAAAATCAACTTTATATAATCAAAGAAATAAAACCAAGTAAAAGAAAGAATATTAGTATAATTCGAAAAGGAATCTTGTAAAAAAATTATTATTATTATAATAATAAGCTTTTAAATTATATTTTTCAAATAATTCAATCCAAAACTGTTTATTTCAAGCTGAAATAGCAAGTTCTTTTATATATTTTTCAGATATATAAATTATTATAATATTACTAGCTAATACTATTTAATATATAAGATATATTTAAAGTACTATAGTATAATTAATTTGAAATGGATTATGTTAAAGTATATTGAAAGATGTCAAAGAATGTTAAAGAATGTTAGAGTACGTGAAAGGATGTAAAAAGATGTAAGAAAACATGAAAAGATGTGAGAAAATATGAAAAGATGTAAAAAGATGTGAAAGAATATTGAAGAATGTCAAAGGATAAGAAAAGATATTTGAGATCATTATCCAAATATAATTGTTCTAACAAAATAAAAAATGATCTTTCACTATACTATTCTACTATGTATATGAATATCATATTATAAATAATAATAAAATATAGATCCCAAATATTAAATAAAATATAATATTTTAAAAATAGAAACATGATAATAAATATAGTAATAAATGATATAAAAATAGGGATAATTATAAAATAAATAAAAAATTATAATAAAATATGATTTTGCATAACTAAGAAAAGATTAAGAAATTAAGAAATTTTATGTTACTATGGTAATAATATCTCTTGCTAGTGAGCTTATCTCTTGAAAAGATTATATTTTAGAGAAGTATGATCTGTAATTATTATAAATGCAGATGTACAGTGGTAAGCAAAAAATTTTGGAATTATTTCACAAGATTTTTCTTGATAATTAATAATTATTTTTTACTAAGCTTTTTTTATTTGATAGAATAATAATATAAGATTTATATAATAAAAAAATTAATAGTTATTCTTTTACTATTTGTCTTAATAATCTTCTTACATCTTATTTTTATTGAACTAACCAAATTTTTGAGAATCTCATCATTGATTAACTCTTATTTTTTTTATTATAAACATCTCTAAATCTTTCAAATTTTATGAGTTTCTCTTTTCTATATTCCATTTAACTATATTTCATAAGTTTTTAATAGGATTAAGATTAGCGCTATTAGATAGCCCATCTATTATGGTTAGAATCTTTTTTTTGAAGATATTTTTTAGTCTGATGGCTTATATACTTTGGATCATTTTCTTGAGAAAGAGATTATATCAAAAATATATGAGTGAAGTATAATTGAGTCTTGAGATTTAAAATTTGATTAATTATATCTAAATTTGATAGTAATTTTTAATAAATCTATATATATCGATATGAAAAAAATTATATGAAATTTTTCCAAAATTTTTTGCTCACCACTGTATATATTGAATACAAATCTGCTAGGTTCTTTTTTGGAGATTACGCTGAAAAAGGATGAAATTCTTTCCAACAAGATATTGATTCAAAACATCTTTCCAAAAAAGCAAAAGATTAGTTTCACGAAAATGAGATCGCAGTTCTCGATTGGTCCTGATATAATCTTGCGAAGACTTTCTGGTTCACTTTCTAATACTAATGAACTGTGGGAAAAGCTACAAATTGCTTGGAATAGTATTGACATTAATTTTTGCGAAAGGCTTAAGGAAGTGATACAGGAATTAGAATAGATAATCCTAATTTAGTAATGTATAATTTTTAACTTGTTAATATTGAATTTTGATTGTATCGAAAAGTAAGCTTTATAAGAAATATTTCTTGACACTTTAGTGAATGTAATTTAATTGTTTCTAATCATGGACAATTCTTCAATGGCGAGATATTTGAATTTTTTTTTGTGTCCGATTACAAATGGGAGCCACTGTATAATCACTTTGAAGTTACCACCATTCGATTCATCTAAATTAGGATTGACAAATTCGTCATTTGGCCAGCTAAATTTGGACCAATTTTATAATAATCAAATACCGATACGAATTAAAATTGACAAAAAATTCTTGCTAATCCTAGATCTTGTTTGACACCTCTCGAGTTTTGCGCTACTTTGTTATTTAATAGTCTGATTATGTGCTGCAGGTTGCTTCTGTGGATTCAAGGCATGTTACTTTGTTTAGTTGTGCAAGAAAATTACGTCTTGCTTGGTTACTGGTTTCGTTTTCATGCTTCATGTTATATGCATAAATGATCAAATTATTGATTTAAATAAAAAAACTCGTCAATTTATAAAGCAATAAACCACCATTACTGGAGAATGCGAAGTTGAAGTTAGTGATATCTGATGAAACTTCTTTTTCATGATGACGAATGGTTTTGTCACGTCCTTTATCTGACGAAACATATATATATCAAATTAATTGAGGCATTTGAGGTCAACCCTGACAGAAAAAAATTGACAAGCAATTTATGCAAATTGCTCACGAATGATTTTGGGGATTTATTTATTTTGTTAGACGGTGGAATGAAAAAGAGATTGCAAAGGTGATTTTTTTGTTTTTTTTTTGAAAAGAGAAGAATCGATTCTTGGAAACTATTTTATACTACAATGCGCATGAATCTACGTGTTAAAAATATTTTGATAACATTTATTACATTCGCCAGGCATTATTAGTTGAATCATATTATTAGTTGAAAACATTCAAAGCAAATTATATGAGTTTATAAACAAACTTCTCTTCTCAAAATTAGATTCAGATTTCGCTAACATGCCAAACCCAGTTGATAGTGCAAAAATGATACAAAGGCAACCCCGTTATAACGAACCCCGTTTAACCGAAGCAATAATTACAAACGAAGATGGCTCCAGGATCAATTATAGTAAATCTACCCCATTAAACCGAATTTACTAATGAAACCTCGAATAAACCGAATTTTTACTAATAGCGCCGACCACTTCGGTATAACGGGGTTGCCTTTGTATTTTCCTTAATGTAGATTTTTGGCCGCTAATTTTTTGCTGTTGATCTTGTCTAAAGACTAATGTGATCCCGAAGGTGAAGAAAAACTTCATATTGATTCTCCAATTAATTTGGAACATGTTTAATCTTCCAAATGAAGAAAAGGGTGTATCCGAGAATGTGCAATTTACCACTACATGTACATCCATGTTCTAAAAAATCCGGTTAAAATTTTTATATTTCAACCGATACATTACATAGCTCTGACTTTATATAATTAAATTTATATTCGTTTAACTTCACCTTCTCGTAATATTGCTTTAACAAAGCGACAAAACAATATGTTGATATAATCACTTTTACAGTAATTGGTTAGAATATTCTGGAAATAAGCACCGTTCCACCTACATGGTCTGGGCGACGCTTTTTTGTTCATTGTTTTGCTACTTTGAATGGTGCTTTAATACTTGGTATTCGCCAATCGGAAAAAAACTTTATTTCGTTAAATAATATTCAAAATGAAAACTATTCTGTGGATTCACAGATTTTTTCCTGTAACGTGGGGTTTGGAAGAGGGGAATTAGACTGCGTTTACAATTATCTATGCCGATATCTACGAATATCGTTTGATATGCGGAATTGGTTGAGGAATTTCGGGTATTTATTTTTGGGTAAGTTGCTTGTAGTATGGCAAATGGTGAGATTATAATTTTATACTGAACAAAATGCTAAACTTAATATCGATCAATTATTTCGATGCCCGTTTCGGATTAACCAACAGCAGTTATAAACCAACTTTCTTGAAGAAGGTTTTACGCAACATATTTCTCGATTTATTGAGTTTGTCATAAAATCGAGGGCATTATGATAGAGGAAAGGATGGAAATAACACAGGATAGAACGGAGGATAGCAAGTTTAGTTCCTATTATAAATATGAAATTAGGGGTTTTAACATTATAATAGTAAAATTAATATGAAATTTTTAATTCTAACCTTTAATCTATGGTAGCCGGATAGATTTGCCGGGAATTCATATTTCGTTAAGGTTAGTATTAGGGATAATACCGTCGGATTTGTTGATAGGAAGAGCAAAATCTTAGGTGGAGGTTTTGTCACTCCCCTTATTGCATGTACCATTTTTTAAATTAGAATAATACGAGATTTTTCCAGAAGCAAAGATTTTTAATTAAAACTACGTTTTGTTTACATCATCCGTATTTGTTTACATTACCCAAATCTTGCGTGATTTTAGGATTGAATGATGTCTTTGAACACTACATTTTGTATTTGTGTTGAACACTACATTTGTATTTGTGTTGTACGTGTACATGTACTAACAATCGACTCTATTGTGTACAAAAAAAGTGAAATAAATGCTATTCATCTTGTATTTATAATTTGATGCTATTTATAATATAATGTGTAATGATTTGAATTCTTTTGTTAATGATAAATCGGGATTTTAATGCGGAGAAAGAAGAGAATATGCAGGGTAAAAGTACATGTATATAATAATATGATGTTTTTAATAATTATTTCCATTCGGAATTTGTGGCAGCATCAACGGCCTCATCTAATGTCAAATGGAAGAATTTTTTTGCAGGTTTATATAGAGATTGTGCTTTTTCTTCATCTTTGATTTTTTGATCGCCATTTTCCTTTTCATTCTTTTCGGATAAATCATCAGCGGATACATTTATTACTCCAAATCCACCAGTCAAGAGCGCATTCTGAATATTTTCATTCAAAATATTGGCGAAATGAAATTCAACAATATGGTCTGCATATTTATTCAACTCCTTTCGAATATCAAACAGCGATTGGATGCCCGTTGAGTCAATCGCATTAACACCCCCCATGTCGAATATAATCGCGCGTAATCTTGGTGCGTTTTGATTTTCAGTACCATTTTCACCTGAATCATTCCATGGTCGATCTCCTTTTTTTTCGGCTCGAACATGATATCGTCGAGTATGTTTCTTTGCGTATCCGATAACCTTGTCGTCAATGTAGTTAGAGTTTGGATAGGTAAGTGACTCGGGGAGTCGGAATATGAGTACACCTTCTGGTGGATTTGAGGCTGCAGTGAATGATGGATGAGTAGATGGGACGTAAGCATATTTTGTTTGATTTTCGTCTCCTGCTAATGGTAATCGTCCTAATGCTTCAATTCGGGGTCGCGCAACTCGAACTAGAAGAACTAAAAGTGCCAATCCTGTCGATACATAGACGCCAATCTAATATTTTGATGATGACGATATCAAAACCATTAGAAGTGGGATTATTAACGAATAAATATGCAAAGATGGAAATGAATACTCACTTCAATGCTGGTAAAGAAGGTTAATAACACGCCAACGACGTATATCGTGAAATCCCAGAATTGAATTTGGTATAAAGTTTTAACGTAACTCCATGGTGATATTAAATCTAATACAGCATGAATAATCACAGCTCTAAATATAGATAATGGGATTATTTCTTTAATTTTTGCATCATTTATATTGCGTGATTTCAGTTAAAATAGTTACTTACGCGAGCGAAGAATTCGGAATATAATAGAAAGCGGGTGTCAAAAAGAATAAAGCAAACACGACCAGAATACCGGAGAAAATACCCGCAAGTGGAGTTCGTACACCAGATTTTGATTTAATAGCTGTGCGTGAGAAAGAACCGGTGGCAGCGTAACCTCCAAGGAATGGTCCGACAATATTTGTGACACCGATTGCGATCATTTCTTGACTTGGATTGATTTTATAATCGTTAACTCGTCCGAAGTTCTTGGCAATTGCGACGTGTTCCAAAATCAAGATAACGACGATAATCGGAATATAACTTGAGATGTGATCTATAACCTCACTATTTAAAGGTGGCACTTGAACATGACTAAAACCTTTCGGGACAGTCTTTAAAATACTGATTGGACTTGTTTTTTTTCCAATATTGATTATATATGCGATTATCGTTGTCAAAACAATGATGAAGATGTTTCGCATAATCGAGATGATAAAAAAAGTATGCTCATATCTTGCCCATCTTTTTCCAGCATGCCGACATGCATACTTGATTCCGTATAAGAATAATAATGAGAGTATTCCCATTACCGCATCGATTTTAGTTGTGCCCAGTGCGCCAAGAGTTTTACCCAGGACCAAATATCCGGCTTGTTTGTTGTCAATGTTTGCTATGCCCATTAAATTGTAAATTTGACCAATTGCAATAGTGATAGCTGAACCAGTACTGAAGCTAGCGATTACAGGACCTGGAATGAAATCAACAATAATTCCCAGACGCAGAAAGCCGAGAGCGGCAGAAACAATACCGGCCACTAATGTTAAAGCGGTTATATAGTCAATATTGGCGTAATGTTTAGGATACTCGGTCTGGATCTTCTGGACAGTTTGTCCCAACAATAGTGACATTACAGCTGTTGGACCGATGGTTATGTCTTTCGATGTGGCGAAGAAAAAGTAAATGCAAACACCAACAAAAGATGTATATAGACCGAATTCAGGGGCTAAGTTGGCAACTTTGGCATAGCCCATTCCTTGCGGAACTACTACTGCACCAACCGTCAGACCGGCAATCAAGTCGGCTATTAACCAAGTTAGGTTATAGCGTCCTATCCAACTTGTAATTGGAAATAAGGATTTCACATAATTTGTCGTATATTTTGGTAAGTTCTGAGGGAGTTCTGCTAATTTATCCTTAAAGTTGGGACGCGATTCGTGGAAGGGATAATTTGTGTTGGACATTTTGTTGATTTTGTGATTGTAAGCAATAATGGTGTGAGATTTTTATAAATAATGATAATAAATCAAATGTGTCACGTAAATGGATTTTTGAGATTTTTGAGAAAAATGCGAATAAACGAAGTTATTTCTTTTTATTATCGATTATCAACTAAGTAATCGAAAATGAATGTGTGTGGTGAAAAGAATAATTCTTTTGAGCAGGTTAATATATATATATATATATATATCAGTTTCTTCGTTTTTGGTTAAACGTATGTTTAAACTTAAACTAATACATATATACTTTGCAATACAAATAATATATTTCATCTATTTACGCGTCAATTCACTTATAAAAATATCTATCATTCAGGATATATCGAATATATGGCTACACGGATCAATTGCACCATTATTGTGAAGTAAGGCGAATGTACACAAACGACAAAAAACCCCATTTTTGGGTATGTCCACTGTCGATTTACTATCATTTGAGATAGATTTTGTGTAATGTACCTTTTTTTGTGCATATGATGTGATTTTTTATATGCGATCTTTATTCCTTTTGAAAAAAGTCGCATTGAATATGTATATAAATGGATATTTTTTAATACATAATTATTACAGTCGCACTTGATATAGTCACGCTGCATTATAAATTTTATGAATGTATATTACATGTAATTTGGTTTAAAAAATAGGTGTGTGCTTATACTAAATCAAAGGTGCGATTGTATCATTTAGCATAGTTTTAAACCTAAACCACTCAATTGGATTCTCGAACGTCCACAAATAAAGGTATTCTTGAGCTAATAGAAGTTTAACGGAGTAAATATAAGTGCGCTCTCTTTCTTTTCCAAAAGAAGGAATCTAAAAGTTAGGGAGTTGCTTCCAACATTGTTATAAGCAAAATTTAATTGAGTAAATATAACTTTAATACTGTCAAACCTGTTAAATTGAGCCTATTAAAACTGGAGCATAAAAGAAGTTACAGTATAGAAATTCTCCGTGAATAGGCTAACTAATTCTGAATTACACGTGATCTCACGAGATTCAGATGCTTTTTTACTCTTTTAAAGTTTTTAAATTGTAACTGTGCTGCTGGTTACATTAAATCACGTTCTGTTAAGATTCTAACGCTAATGGAATACAGACTTAAGGTGAATCAATAAAATAAACAAGTTTTGCAATTTATGATATGCCAAATTGATTTGATAGACTCATTTATGTATGGTAATGGGTAATTACAGTACATCTGAAACTTATATTTATTTAAGAAATGATTAAACAACTTTCTTTAAATTTGAATTTATATTAAAAGTAAAACTGGGTTCAAATCAAATAATAGCCTGCATATACAACTTTTTCTCTAGAAACAGCAACATTGGTACTTCTCGCAATGAACGGCGAAGACAAGAAATATATGAATACATACATGCATGTATTCGTTTATTTTCACGCGCTTATACGCAAATTTTATTGCTAATATTTTAATGTAATTAAATGTAAATACATTCATATAGGAGAGATCGCGCGCGTCCTTATAAAAAATATTTGGAATTAAAAGAACCGAACTGCATGTATTTCATTTCACAATTTTAATATTTATATCTTGTGAGTTCCATGAGCTATCTTGAATATTGATACAATGCAATTTTATAATGAACCATATTTACAAATGAGAATCAGTTTCGAAAATAATGACTTGATTCCCATCAACTCCCTCGATGTGTTGATTCCAAATTTTCCGGTGATCGATAACCCATTGGACACTATAGGAGATATAAATTTTTAATTTATGCATGAGAAAAAACCTTAATAATTAAGTGCATACAATAGGCAGAATATAATGGTAAGTGCTATACATATTGTGCATATACTTAAATACTGCAGTGAAAAACAAAGAAAACATGTGTTGAAAATGCACTCATTTTGGCGTTAACTTCCTTTAGTGAAAACTGCGATTTTAGGAAAGAAAAATTAGATCGGAGGTTTTTGTCACTTCGCGTGTTCAGGTATCATGTATAGGGGCAAAAAATCATGTACATGTGTCGAATTTTTGAACGTAACAAAATTGATTTTTGTCATTTCGCGTGTGCAGGAGGGCGTAAAACTTTTAAAAGTAGCAAAATTTGATTTATCAATCACAAGATATTTGTATCAATTATATGCAATCCGTAATTATGTTCGCTAAATCCGAAATACCTGGAGAATTTACGTTAAACTTTACATTACACAGGCACCTGCATCTTTATTTACTGCAAACTGCTGCTGTGTATTTAATAAGAACAAGGAGTCATGTCATATTACGTACTTGTATTTCTAAAATCATGGATCTATACAATTTTAGAAAATCTAATCAATCATTATTAGATAATAAATTTTCTAGTGATCTCATGATGAACAGAATATGCTCATTTTTCTTTCAGACGTGACATTCTAGAACTTATTTGGTCGCACTTACAAACCTGTTTTTCGCGTGGATTTAATTTTTTTGTATTTTGATACAATGCCTTAGTAAGGTCACATTTTATCTAATGTCAAGAATTTTTCGTTTCAGCTCTCAACCTTTTACTAGACATTTTTTGATTATTTTTCTTAAAATCTTTAATGTATTCCAATCTCTTACACCTTCTGAACTATGGAATACTGTGTATTAAGATAAGTTGCGTCATCCGAAATCACAAATAAGTCATCACGTTTTGTGTTCGAAAAGAAACTACTTTCAAATACCGTAAAGCGCTTTGTATAGTATCCCTCCCCTGTAAAAATTCAAACCTTAATTTAATTCGTCTTTTTTAATAGAACTAATTATTAGTTTCGCCAATAAATAAACACTGTAATTTCTAAAAATTAGTTAATAATTTACAAGCCTTGAGGTTAAATTAAGGTGTAAATTTTTTACAGGGAGGGATATTATACAGAGCGCTTTACGGTATATAGAAATGGTAATAAACGAACATTTGGTATTTCGTTTGTCGGGCTATGAACTGACGGGATTGTGTTTGTCGGCAGATCCTTTTGAAAATATCCTCGTTATAACGTTTCTGCTGAGGGTGAAAAATAATTACGAATCCGTTTAAGGGGTCCATTATAATGAATGTAGTGCTTATCAATTAATAAAAAGTGAAAAAGTTTACTTGAAAGTATTTAATAGCTTATCTTAATAAAATTTTTCATAATTAATGTTTTTTTATTAAATTTTTTTTTTGAAAAAACTGATTATAAAAAATTTAAAATACTTTTTTAATCTTTTTTTATTTGTTATTCAATGAATATTTATTTAAATTATATAAAATTTTAAATATATATAATTAATAATCTAGTAAATAAGTTTACTTAATATTAATTTGCAAAAATAATAATAAAATTTATTTATAATAATTTATTTAAGTTTTCTTATTATTAAAAATTTTTAATTTTAAAAATATAAATTACAAAAAATTTTAATAAGATAAATATTCAAGTAGTCTTAAATAAAGTTATTTATCATACTCTCAAATATATATATTTAAATTTTTATATTATTTAATAAATATTTATGAAGAAAATTAAAAATTCCAGTTTTTTTTTGACATACTATATATTAATTATAATAATTATAATTAGTAATAAAAGTATATTAAAAAGAAATATAACAAAAAAATTTAGATGATATAAAGTAATAAAAATTATTTATATATTCTAATCAAATTAGTAAATTATGATTTTAAATTTTTTTTAATATTTAATATCATATAATAAATTATATTTAAAACTAAACTACATATATAAAAATTAAAAATATAAAAAATATTAAAAGATTTTAAATTAAAGATATTATAAATTATTTATATTATATTTTTAAATTATATACAGTGTGTTATAAAAAAAATCATAATTACTATTTTTACTTATATTCAATAAATATTTATTTAATTCATATAAAATTTTAAATATATATACTTGATAA